ATAATAATAATAATAATAACAATAATAGATAGACAGATAGATAGTTGATAGACAGCATTTTGTTTAGCGCAAAATCCCGCTCAACAACAAGCTCTGTGTGCGTTACCATCTATATTATCACCCCATCAGACCTGTTGGCATTCTGAAACAATTTCAACGTCTTTGGAAGCATACAGTGCAGGCTGCCACTTTATTGGCGCTATAACACTAACATACTGACAATTTCTTTCGTTGTCTGTTGCCAGGTACTTATTATCACTTTTTAAAGGACACCCCGTCGGTTATGAGGCTCGAAAACCTTAACCCGCAACCTCACGATTACGAGCCCGATAGCCTAACCAATTGACTGTCGAAGCCAGAAAAAAATTAAAGCAAGAGCATAACTCTTCAGATGGCTATTGCCTTAGGTCTGAAGTATAGATCTAGGTCCAGAATATCAGTCGGGTATCCACGGCATAGCTCCTGGAAGTGGTTATTATGTTTTGCTGCATTCTTTCCACTTCTATTCCCCCAGACCACAAGATAAGATAAATCCAAATCCAAGATGGTGGACAACGTTCCCATAACAACAGGTTCTGACAACCCTAAGGGCATGGAATCTATGAGTGTGCAGAAAATTGACGGAGTTCCCTACCCTTGCTGTTTGGGCTCCGACAACATGGCCGACGTATTCTCCATTATCCGGAAGCTCAACCTCCGAGACGATGACGTCATCACAGTGGGTATGCCCAAAACGGGCAACCACTGGACATCCGAGGTGGTCAGTATGATATTACGACAAAATCTCGAGTTCAGTTCCACTCAGTTCATCTCTCATCTTCTGGACTTTGTCGGACCTAATGTGCAAACAAGCATTGACCAGATGACGTCACCTCGGAACCTCGCTCTGCACGCGCACATGGATAAACTTCCAGCCCAGGTGGTGGAGAAAAGGTTGAAGGTCATATATCTACTACGGAACCCGAAAGACGTGTGGGCCTCGGGGTATCAGATGTACTCTACACTCAGCTATCAGCCTCTGCAATATACGGGGACATGGTGAGTTCTATACATGATATCATGTGATCTATATATCATAATATAATGTAATACATATATAAAATAATATTAGACTATAATTACTCTGTCACATTTTTAAGTATACACTGTGTTAAAAAGAAAATAGCTAGTTTCACCATGAGTCGATATTCTTTAAAATTTCAGGAATATGCATTCAATAAATTCCTTTCGGTCCTTTCGGAGATAAAAGTTGATCTTAGAGGTCCTGCCTCTTAAATAACCTAATAGCTATACCATTTCACCATTGAAACATTTTTTTGGGAAATACGATTTGAAACAGATGTTCGCTGAAGCAAGAGACTAAATGATCACTCAGCAGACTCACCAACAAAGGATGGTAACACTTGCCCAGTTGATGGAACAAAAACCCCAAGCTGTGACTATAGAGAAAATGGCAGCAGTCTTCAGATCAATGCAAGCCTATTATGCCAGAGCGTTTTGTAGTGCAGGAATAAGTAAATAGAATTTAACATTGGTTTAACATTTCGTCCCGTTAGTTCTATATACACCGGCAGTTTATTGATTTTTATCATAACCATTCGTGTCTGTTTAAACATGTGTGTTTATTTTCGGGTTTTAAAGAAAATTAACAATTAGTTTCGTTTCACGTGGTATTTTTCTTGCGGCACCACACGGCTTACATCTAACCATTTCGTAGCAAACAGCCCAAACCCTTTTACTTCTTACCTTGATGCACTTCTTATACTTTAAGCCTCTTTTTTTCTCCAAGTATATTTTACATTTGAACTTGCTCTGAGGCATTTTAATTTGCTATGTGTTACATTTGAGATTTCTATGTTTGCATTTGAACTAGCTATTGTTGTATAAGGACTTTTTATGACGTCATTTGTATATTTGGATTAGCTAGGTGTAATTAAATTTGGTCTTTCTATTTCGGCCTTTGAATTTGTTGTGTGTATATTTGAACTGAAAAAACTATAAACAAAATTAATCATTGCCGTATCATAATTCTAAAAAAAAAACCCCACACAAAAAAACATGTAACACGCATGCAGTTACAAAACCACTCGCGCGTTCAGAAATCTGAAAAAGCTCACCAGCGACAGGTATATCACGTAATCAGTGTGTAAATTTTAAAGTAGTTGGTGGCATGGATTTTGTTTTATTGAGCTTCAAAATGTGTATACTTAAAAATGTGACAGAGTATAATATATTATATTTGTGAAAATTCGTCACTTTAGTCATCTAAAACTTCCGAACTATTTAACTTTCGAATTTGAAAAACGGTAGTTCGGAATCATTTAAAGGGTGCACAGCTATATTAAGGAGTCTGAAGTCACTGTAGTTTAATTATTAGCTTTTCATTAGTTTCGTTAAGATCTAATCGTGGGAAAGTCCGTCTTCTAAGATACCATTTTAAACAAGTGAGCCTTCCGTTCGCCCCTCTGTTGTTTCTGTCTGTCTGTCTTACTTTTTCTCAGCACTAAATGACCATTATTGTGTCGATGTGCTTCTCTTTACTCATACAATTAAAATGCAAGCAGTGCGCACTGTTTCCACAATGACTTGATGATCGATTCTTTTGAGTCCGGTCATGGAACGGGTACCCAGCTAGTAGTAGAAGAGGAAACGCTCGGGGAAACGTAGCTTTTTTTAAGAGCATCCGAGCAAAAGAATGAATGGAGAATCATGATCGCCGATGTCTGTCACAGATTTGGCACTTATATACAAACAACAATAACAGGAATGAATGCTATATCCTATCACAGGATTGCCAGAATTTTTTTTCACCAATAATCCAAACTGCTGGCAAAAATAAGCCAATTTAATTTTAAAAAATAAATAATCCAAACTGCTGGCAAAAATAAGCCAATTTAATTTTTTTTAAAATAAATCCAAACCCGGAAAATTAGCAAACTTACCCTAAACGAACAAGGAAATGTCCTCTTCGTCAGGTTCTTCATCAAAATTCTGGCAACCCTGCATCAAAGTGCCAGTTTTGAAGTAATCTACATACAGTGTCTATACTATGAAAGAGTTTTCCTTTAATTTTTTTTTCTTATTTTTTTTTTTCACTTACCAATTGAGACAGCTAGTGAAAAAATTTCCAAAAATCCAAACAAAAAATCATAATCCAAACGACTCGAAAATAATCCAAAAATGAACAGTTTTGATTAATCCAATCTGGAAACCCTGTATCGAGACTTGCTGTTTCCATGTTTATCATCAATGACAGGTACTTTTCACTATGTCAATAATATGTACATGTCGTATTTAATTTTTTTTAAAATCGAGAATACATATACATTGGTCCTCCGCAGGAATGACTACGTATCCATCAGACAACGCGGAGAGTTTCTATTCGATTCCTGGTTCAACAACGTGTTGGCCTGTGAACGCTTTATGGCAGACCACCCCGAGTGTCCTGTGTTTGTTAACAGTTTTGAGAGGATGAAGGAGGAACCAGCTGGTGAGGACCGGGAAAGGGAGGGGGGTTGATAGAAGGTGACAGAGGGGGAGGGGGGGGGAGAAGAGAGAGAGAAAGAGAGAGAGAGAGAGAGGGGGGGGAGGGAGAGAAAGAGAGAGAGAGAGAGAGAGAGAGAGAGAGAGAGAGAGAGAGAGGGGAAGGGAAGAGAGGGAGATGGGGTGGCGGAGACGTATGAGGAGAGAGAGAGTGAGAGAGAGAGAGTGTGTGTGTGTGAGAGAGAGAGAGAGAGAGAGAGAGAGAGAGAGAGAGAGAGAGAGAGAGAGAGAGAGAGAGAGAGAGAGAGAGTTACCATACCATACCATACCAAACCATACCATACGATACGATACCATACCATACCATACCACTCATCGCCGTTTCACACAAACATAGCGTGAAATTATTTGCCCAGTACAACATTACACTATACAATATCATAACTCACCAAAGTTATTTCAACTTCCCACCAATCCCCCACCCTCCTCGTCCAACTCTCTTTTCCTCCCTACACACTCCACCACCCCTGCCCCCACCCCTTCCGAACCAGCTATCGTAAGAGATCTGTGTGAATTCCTCGGACAACCCACCACTCTGTCTGAGAAGATCGCGGAGGTCACACAGTTCAAACACATGAAAGAGGCTCTGAACGACAGCAAGATGAATGATTTGACACAGGAACATTTTCAAAAAGGAAAGGTGAGCTGGTCGAGGATGGGTGGCCGGTAGGGAACTGCAGAATCCAGCGTGTCATTACATGTACTTTGTTTCACTTTCGGTTCTATTTAAGTATTTTGGAGTTCTGCGTTTTATCGGTGATTTAAGTTCAAGTATTGGTCGGACTCTTCGTCTTTACCCGCAAAGTATACTAGCGAGCAAAAGAAACGCAAAATCCTGTTTACCTTTGCAATGGTGATCATGTTCGTTTTCCATTTTTAACAAAGCGGGGTAATTTTTTCTGGCACTATGAAAGGATACGTGGGGCTTCACTGTGAATATTGGATTTTAGCGGAATACATTTTCAACTTCCGGTTAATGCATCAAAATGACCAGTAATGGGTTTGACTACCATTAGATCGGATAACCGCAGTGCATCTCCGTTACGAGGAAGCCACTAGGTTCTTGGTAAAACGTAGCGGCTTTGCTTCCACATCCAGTTCCTGTGTAATGGAATGTGTCGACTTTAATTATGTCCGTGATAAATATTTTAAATGTAAAGATATTAAGACCCTTTTTAACATCATAGAACCTAGAAGAATTTTAAGTTTTATAAAAGAAATTGGACTGTTTAATAAAATGTGAAAATATATAGTTGTCGTTGTCGGTGTATATATACATACGATGTATATATACATACAATGAAATTTGTATTGTATATACAAATGTAAATAAGCCTTTTCCATATATTTACAAAATTTTTTTTATAAATGTTTGTTCGTCTTTTTAGCATAATAGAAATAGTGTGGTCGTTTGCGGTTGCGAGCTCCGAAAGACTCTTTATTAAAACACGTCTGATTTTGTAGCGGTGAAACCTGATGGCGCTTAAATGACCAAAATTGTGTCGATAGTGCCGTAAAACATCTACCCAATCAAGTTCCTGTGTGGTTCTCGGCCTTGGTTTTCTCCCCTCGGTGCGAAGTTTAATTTCGTCCTAAAATGCATAATTGGGTTTAAATATGTGCCAAGGGCAGGGTGAGGCTGCAAAGTGGTGCCATAGGGTGGGAGGAAATCCTGTGTAACACGCACGGAAAGTGTGCGCACAAGAATTTTCTGGCTGGAACTGGAAGTTAAAATTTTGACTGTGTAGAGGGGCCTAAGAACTTCTGCTATGCAGCGGGCAGCATTGATACCTTGACCTCGACTTTGTCCTTGATTTTGGAAGATCATGGGTCCTATTTTGTCGAACGATCTTGGCGATGGTGTGCTATCAAGACTGGACCATAGTAAGGTCGAGCGCGTCAGTTGACTGTGTGTGTCGACTTCCGTGGGTACCCCTTATGAAATTTGATGTTCTTGTAGCTGTATGAAGTCGATTTGAACGGTACATCAGGACAATGTATTTATACATGTGCATCGGCCACTCTGGGTCGACCTGACCGTTTTCGGTCCGACGTAGAATTCGTGAGCTGAAAACAGGTTATGAGTTTGTGAATAATCGAGATGTGAACACCAAAATGATTGGCAACCACGGCTGACCATTCACCACCCTCCGATCGGCCTATTGCTCTTTTTTGCTGTATAGCCCTTAAACGGGAAATTGTCGTAGCAAATGCAGGCGAAACGATCGAACCAATTTTTTTTACCACGGCTTTTATAGCCAAACTCAGGAAAATACGTTCCACCCTTTTTTTATTCACTCATGAAGACCTTGTTTCGAAGGCGCCACGTGGCTTTTTTCCATGCTTCAATTAAGAGGCAATAACTCTAGTTGCCGATGATAAGCGAGACGGGCGACTTTTGGTTTCCAAAGAGGATATGACATACTATCAATGGTGTCAACTTTTGTCCTCTGCCATTGATTGTTATTCAGTTATGGCCAGAATAGTTTTTCGCGTTTCTTTTGCTCGTATATGATTTCTTTTGGTGCCTGAAAAAGTCTGTTTTATCGATATTATTGACGAATTTTCTTCCAAAGTCCAACCGTTCGTCTCCGTCGAGGGAGGTGGAAACAGGACAAAATAAGGGATAGCTGGGTCAGGGGGAAGTACAGTGTGACTTTATGTCAATGACTTTATGTCAATGACTTTATGTCTAGCCGTGAAGGTCGACCCGGCGCTCTGGTGAAACCGTGACTGGCCTAGCAAGCCGACGGCGGATAAATCATGCTTCGAGACAAACAAAGGAGAGCACACGGACTGATTCAAACAGAAAAGGACGAGGAAAAGTATACGGACAGCAAGGTAGAACAACGAATAAAACTGGCACTTGGAATGTCAGGGAACTTGGAGGCAAAGAACCAGAAATAGTGAATTTCATGGAAAGAAAGAAAATAGCAATCATGGAATTGTCAGACATAATTAAGAGAGGCAAACACAGCAAGCTGACTCATAAGGACTACCCCCTGATCTGGAGCGGAACACCTGAAAATGAGAGATTCAAACATGACGTAGTTTTCATCATACACCCAGCCAAAATGGATACAATCTATGAAACCAACCAGATCTCAGAGAGCATAGTGAGCATAAAACTCATAGAGGGTGGCAAAACAACAACGTACATCCAAACATACGCTCCTTGTAACGACAGCAATACAGAGGAAAATAGACAATCATATTTCCAAGACCTGAGTGACCACATTAAAACCATCAAGAACAAAGAATATATATTTATCTTGGGATATTTAAATGGCAGAGTTGGACAAAGGAGAACCCCATGGGAAGAGAACTTGGGACCCCAGAGTGATAAATATTCAGACTGCAACAGCAATGGAGAAATCATACTAAACCCATGCGCTGAACACGAACACATTTTCTCCCAACACAGACTAAGCCAAATCAAGACCTGGTACAGATGGAATGACCTGAACCATGCATCACAAATTGATTTCATCCTGATGAACAGAAAACAAAGATATACATCCAAAGATTCGAGCGCGGTTCCACTACATCGTCGCAAGGACCACAGACCTGGAACTCTTACTCTAATAACCAACAATGTAAAGCAAACAAAGAAGAAAAGGGGAAAAATCAAAACCAACCTAAGAAAATTGGAAGAACGAGACATCAAGAAGATAATCGAAGATGACATTACCAAGGAATACAATAAGCTGTCACCTGAGAGCAAAGACATAGAAGACGAATGGCAAACATAAAAACAATCCATGTAAAAAATACTGGAAAATAGTTGTAGCAACAAACGATTAGGTGGAAACAAAGGCAGAACAACATGCTGGTGGAATGACGAAATCAAAGAACCAATTACAATTTAAAAAAAACGATATTCAAGAAATGGAAGAAGTCAAAGACCAAAGAGGACTATATAGAATACAGGAAAGCGAGAAAAGATACCAAATAAATGATAAAAACCGCAAAACAAAATGCATGGAAAATATGTGGCAAGAAGCTGACCAAAATCTGCAAGGAAAACCCTAGAGAGTTTAATAAAAGCGTGAACAGCTTGCGGTTAAGGAAAGGCCCATACAACCCGACATGCATTATAAACGATAAAGAGGGTAATGCCGTTCTCAGCAAGCATGCCATTACGAAAAGATGGGAAAATTATTTCCTAGAACTACTCAGCCCCGACTATTTCCACAGACAACAAGAAGAGTTCCAACCATCATCATAATATGGAGAGCAAACAGAACCACCCATACTTCTCTGTGAAATCGAAAAGCACTCAAAACCAGCCCCAAGAACAAAGCCCAAGGACCAGATGACATCACAGTGGAAACCATACTTGTGGAAACACCGGTGTACAGTGGCTGAGGCGAATTTTCAATAGAGCCTGGGAGCGAAGGAAATGCTCAGAAATCTGGCAGAAAGCGACGTTGGTCCCATTACGGAAAACGAAAAGCAACAAACGCGACTGCACGACATACAGAGGCATCTTTTTATTAAGCCACGCAGGGAAAATGTACGCAAAGATATTAGAACAGCGGATAAGACCTACTGTAGAGAGAAATCTGAGCAAAGCTCAGTTTGGATTCCGAAAGGGAAGAGGATGCATGGATACTGTATTCGCATTACAACAGATATGCGAGAAAACAATCGAGCTTAACAAAGAATCCAACATCGTCTTTATAGACCAGGAGAAGGCTTTTGACAGAGTAAACCATGCAAAACTCTGGAAGACACTCGAAAAGTATGACGTCGGAGGACAAACGTTAGATAATTTCAGAGCTCTATATACCAACAGCAGAAGCTCAGTAAGAACAAAGAAAGGCAATACAGGCTGACTCAAAGTAAGATCTGGAGTACGACAAGGATGCGTTCTATCCCCCCTCCTGTTTATAATATATATGGACAAAATAACGCAAGACGCAAAGCAAAGCCCAAAAAGCCTAAATGAATTTCTATTCGCAGACGACCAATGCCTTATTCATCCAAACCAACAAAGCCTCCAAATCACATTACCGAGCTGAGCAACAGCTGTCAGAAATTTAACATGAAAATAGCACCTCAAAAACAGAAGTTATGAAAGTGAGCCGAAACCGTAGTCTCCTGAACATCCATGTCAATAGTAAACAACTGAAACAGGTGAAGGAGTTAAACTATCTTGGCAGCACTTTTTTCTGAAAACGGGTCCATAGACAGAGAAATAGAAATGTGAACTAAAAAAACAAACAAAAAACCCAACACTGTCACCTACCAGCTCGCACCCTTCCTATTTCACCGAAACGTCTCCATGGACTCAAAGAGACAGCTTGTCATCTCAATATTCATACCAACATTATTCTGCCTGTGCCAGGCCTGGATATTAAGTAAAACCCAAGAAAGCAAAATCACTGCATGCGAAATTAAATGTCTCCACAAAACCCATAACATCACAAGACGAAACAGACAGAGAAATGAAGAAGTAAGAGTAGCTATCGGCACTGAGTCTTGCTTGCCTTACATAGAAAGACAGAGAATAAAATTATGGTTTGGCCACCTGTTACGTATGTCACCTGGCCAGCCAGTCTCGAGAGCCTACAACACCAAGCACTCAGGCTATAAAGGAAGAGGAAGACCACGCAAAAGGTGGATTGAGGGTGTCACGGAAACCCTGAGAAAACATAATATAACAACTGAAAGAGCTGCGGAGCTGGCCTACCATAGAAAACTGCATCTTCTCTCGACGCTTAACGGCAACAGAGGATGAAACAGTTTAAAAAAAAAAAAAGTAAAAGTATCGACGAATTAGCCCGTACAATAGCCACATTTTGTCATTAAAGAACGAGAATGAAACTGGACATAAGAATAAGTATAATGAAAAAACCCTGCCGGAGCAACTACCAACAACCGACTTACGTTACTTATGATGAAAACTCAAAAGCACCCAAACTAACCAAACTAACAAACGTTGACAAAAAAAACGAAAAATCAACCGTGAAGCTGCATACATTGTATTTGACCTGGAACGCATCGAAAATTCCGGAAATACTTGGACATAATAAGCAGTAATATCAAAGCCAAACGAACGCCAAAAACAGTTCACATAACATGTAATTTCTAATTTGTTTGTTTGTTTGTTTCAGACTGGCATAATGAGGAAGGGCGAAGTGGGCGACTGGAAGAACTGGTTCACAGAAGACCAAAGCGAGGCTTTTGACCGCCTTTTCGAAGAGAAGATGGCGGATTCCAAACTGGCACAGATTGTGCGCCCATATATCATGTGACTGTGGTAAAAAAAATACATGGTACTTAATATACTAGATCTATATTCACATTTTTGTCCTATTTTGTGGTATTTCCTCTCCCCACTCAATGTGGTACTTTAGCTTTTAAAAACCCCAACTGAATTAGAGGAAGCACACCAATACAATAACAATCATTTATTACTTGGAAAAGGTTGGACAGACTGGAATGAAGGAGGGAAGGAAAAAAAAAGGAACTATAGATAGCACCCTTCAACCCACATGTTATCGTTTTGCCCCCAGCGTTAGATTCTGATATAGATGCGAAAAAGCGACCGGCAACGGGCAGAACTAAAAGCAATAGACAAATTCAGCAAATGCAAAACTTAACCAAGTACAAGAACGCCCCTTTGGGCCTGGGGGCATGAAACCAGATGGAACCACATGCAATATAAAATCTGTTCTACTGTGTGGAGATAATGGTGAAATAAAAGTTTAACATCCCCCCTCCTCCCCATACCCACCGTCACGTCGCTACCTCATAATTACAAAATTCTATCTGACAATTTTGGCCGTTTTGAGTTATTAGGACCATAAGGTCAGAAACCAAATGTTCTGTCTGTTCTATAAAGATTGTAAAATAATTCGGAGTCGATATCAAGATATTTACAGAATTACATTGTTCTATCTGAAAATCTTTTCAGAATTACAAAACTCTGTCTGCAACAAAGATGTTATAAATACAACTAGATCTAGAGGTTCCAGCTTTGACGTCACCCACGTACTTGTGAAAGTTGTAATTACTCTTTTTCTCACGCTTGTTTGCACATCCAATTACGGTACAATTTTGCACCATTGTTATTTCTGCACAATTCTAGACTGACTGTACCAAAGATACTCTACTACCAAGGACCTTACTGTAACCCCCTTGTCCACTACCAAGATATTGCACTTTCTCTTTGGGCTTTTGTCCCCGCCGTGGCGAGCCCCGCTTTTGCCGCATACGACGTGATGGGCTACGTCACTAGGCGACGCGAGTGTGTGTGTGTGTGTGCGTGTGTGTGTGTGTGTGTGTGTGTGTGTGTGTGTGTGTGTGTGTGTGTGTGTGTGTGTGTGTGTGTGTGTGTGTGTGTATGGTGACCACGAAAATTGCTGTGATTGTTTAAAGATAAAACAAATTAACAAAAGGAAAAAAAAAGGGGGGGGGGGGGGGAAGCTGTGAATGAGAATGAAAAAAACAACACTGAAAATCCACACACAAAAACGAGGACAATTATTTAAAGAATTTATGTGCCAAGTTAATCACTTACTTGAATGCTCAACTGGTGTTGAACATTCATCAGTTTACTGATCTCTGCGAGCTATTTCGGCGTAGACGATAAATGACACTTGCTCACTGTTACGTCAGTGCAAACATACTCGGCCTTGTTTGCAAACAAAATTCATCTGACTATGATTGACAGATCGACCAGGGTCATAACAATATATCATTTATATCAATAGTATAGGGTGTATTTCTGACAGTGCGTATTGACATGGGTAAGCTGATGGGAAAGAGCAGTGGAAACGATGAGAAAATGGACGGGAATGGGGCAGTGGGGTTGGTACCAGAAAAATAAAAATAGAATTGAGCTAGAAACTTATTTGCCCTGCTTAATTGGTGCTGGCCAGATGTTCACCAATCGAACTCATGTGGTTTGCTGTCTAGTCGTTTGATATCGCAGTGATGGTTAAAGTGTCGTAGTTAGTCTAGCATGTTCTCACTGGTCGACCTCATATTAATGACAGAATTACCGGAAAAAATATATTGACATACAGGATAACAAGCAATTTGCTTATCGTGCCAAGAGAGGCGTAGAGGGCGTCTTAAATAACATCTACAAACACATAGACACACCAAGAAATTATTACAGGATACTTTTGCTTATTTTCATCCTTTTTCAACACATTCCAACCTCACATTATGGTTTCTAAATAAATTAACTTGAACATAAACAAGAACATTATAGCTTGGATTCTAGAGGTCTTAACCAATCGACTTCAGTATGTAAAATTAAATGGTGTAAAATCCGACATGATATTCACGAACACCGGTGCACCCCAAGGTTGTGTAACCTCCCCTGTCTTGTTTACGCTCTACACCAATTGCTGTATTTTTAATAACAAAAACATCAAACTACATGTAATACAATTTGAGGATGATTCCACTCTACAAGGCCTTATAACAACACAGGAGAATGAATACAGGGACGCTGTAAATGTAATTTCAATTGGTGTGCTAACCACTTCCTTTTACTAAATGTAAAAAAGACAAAGGAATTAATAATAGACTTTAGAGTAAAAAAAGACAAAATGCAACCACTATATTAAAGATGAGGAGATGGAGGTGGTAAGTTCTTACAAGTATCTTGGAATAACAATCGATAACAACAAGCTTGACTGGCATCCCCACGCTGCTCTTGTGCATAAAAAAGTAAATCAAAGAATGTTCCTTTTAAGGAAATCAAAAAGTTTTCGTATTGATAACAAGATTATGTCCCTTTTATACCATTCTATGATTGAAAGTGTGCTATTATTTTGTATTTTTGCTGCTGGGCTGGGAATTGTAGGGTGAAAGATAAAGAAAAATTCTACAGAACCATTAGGAAAGCCAGCAAGATCTCTGGATATGATTTTACTAGAATTGATGAAATGTATAACACCATAAGTATAACAAAGATAATAAGCATCACACCCCCTTTCCACGTAAATTATAAGATCACGCAGCGTCAGATAATATGCACCTCTAAAAACAAAGAAAGAAAGATACTTGCGAGCAAAAGAAACGCGAAATCCTGTTTACCTTTGCAATGCTGATCATGTTCGTTTCCCTTTTTTTACAAAGCGGGGGAATTTAAACCCAGACTGTTTCCTGGCGTTATGAAAGGGCATCACTGTGAATATTACGTTTTAAGGGAATACATTTTCCACTTCCGGTTAATGATAAAAATGCTCATCAATGGTTATGGCCACTATTAGATCGGATAACCGCAGTACATCTCCGGAACAAGGAATCCACAGGTTATTGGTAAATCGTAGCGGGATCTGCCTCCAAATCTCCAGGACGACCACATTGACATACAGTTGCTACGTGGTTCTCGGCCTTGGTTGTCTCCCCTCGGTGCGTTTTTAAATTTCGTCCCAAAAATGTTTAATTGGGTCTAGATCAGTGCTAAGGGCAGGGTGAGACTGTCAACTGAGGACATGGTGTTGGAGGAAATCCTGTGTAATACGGGAAGAGTGCGCGTAAGCATTACCTTGCTGGAATCGGAAGTTGAAATGTTGTCTGTGTAGAGGGGCCTAAGAACTTGTGCTATGCAACTAGGAGCATTGATTCCTTGACCTCGACCTTGGCTTAGATTTTAGAGGATCATTGGTCCTACTTTGTGGTTCCACATGATTCCACCCCAGATCCTGACGCGATGTCCTCCCCAGTGATTCCTCTTTATGACCCAGCTGTCACTATAACGTTCGCCTCCCTCTTGATAAACTCTGAGACCCCTGTTTGTTGTGTCTAGGGAGAACAGGCATTTGGCCGAAAATGAGAACCGAAGACCAGTCTCTCAGACATCTGTTGACATGGTGCTGGACTCAGTTGAGACGCTCTTGGCAATGGTATGCGGTCAAGACTGGACCATGGGGAGGTCGACGGCGTCTATTTGTAAGGCCTACCTGACGCAATCGTCGGTTCACTTTGTGCCGACTTCTGGCTCTTCAGTGTGTACTCTCTATCAAACCTGACGTTCTTGTAGCTTTCTGAAGTCGATTTGAACGATGCTTCCGGACAAAGTGTCTGTATGCACGTGCACGGTCACTCTGAGTGGACCTGACCTTTTTCGATCTGCCGCAGAATTCTTGAGCTGAAAACCGGCCATCAGTCTGTGGATAGTCGAGATGTGCACATCAAAATGATTGGCGTCCTCAACTGGCCTTTCTACACCCTCCAAACAGCTTATTGCTCTTTCTCGCTGTATAGCCCTTAAACGTGGCACTGTCTTTGCAAAAGCAGGCGAAACGGCCCGAACTGATTTTTTTACCCCGACTTTCACAGCCGAGCTCAGGTGAATACTTTTCACACTTTTTTCCACTCATTTAGACCGTGTTTTCGAAGGCACCACGAGGCTTTTTCCAAGCTTCAAATAACTCTTGTTTCCAGTGACAAGCAAGACAGGCGACTTTTCATTTCCAAAGAGCATAATACCAATGGTGTAAATTTCAGTCTTCTACCATTGATGGACATTTAGTTATGGCCAAAATAGTCTTTTGCGTTTCTTTTGCTCGCTAGTATAATATATAACTCTAAAAGGCCTTGTAATTTAATTCCTGATTGTGGTCGAATGATGTATCTGATGTGATATATATATACATTTTTTCAGCTCTACTTCTCTTTTTATATTGCATTTTAATGAGAATATTATATGTAATTTAAATTTCTATGTATACCTGCATGTGATTTTACGGTCCTGTACAGCCAAGAAAAATGTCCCTCTGGGATAATAAAGTCTTATCTTATCTTATCTGAGTTAATTGGAGCTTCTAAAGAAAATGTTTAATCTTAGTTGAATTGTAGTCAAGCACTGCATGTTGTTCATACTTCTGATCTGTGGTGGATTTACACCTCTCATAGTATTTTTGTCTTCCTAAAGTTTGATTCAATACATCTTCAGAGAAAATGTTACTGAATGTTAACAGATTTGACTAACATTTAGAAGCAATAAATACATTTCATGACAAAAAAGCTTTTCTTTTTTAGTTTGTGTCCTATCATGCCCAATACTACATGTACTGCAAGAGCTGATTTCGTTGATTGTTTTGCTTGATAGAATTTACGGCAATCCCTCGCAAAACAATGAGGCAATCTTTCTTACAGACATTGATTGAATAAAACTATACATAGATTGTAAAAAGCAACTATAATCGATCCCAAATCGCTTTAGGATTAATTGTACCCCCCCCCTCCCCAACCCTCTCGCCTGAAATCATTTTGAAACTTTCCACGTTTACTAAGAAGAATGCAAGATGTGGAGCAGCATAATATTCCTCGAGCTGGCAGTGCTCAGTCACTTGCCTTTTGATAATATCGTAAATAGTTTGTTTTAGATTTAGTA